CATTAAATACGCCCATGAGCAGTTCTTACTTTTTCACTTTTTGATTGTTTTGCTGCTGTATGCAAATGAGTTATCACTGTATGACAGCTTAAGCTCTCATAATGATCTTGTATTATTACAACTTTATTCTTGGATTAGGAGTTATATTGATGCCTACAATTTCATTGCTTTAATTTAGGGCATCACTTTTCATTATGTTTACATAGAAACATGGCATGAATAAGCTTATTACATGGCATTAAAATTTTACAATTCCCATTAATTAGTAGCACTCTTTTAATTGCAATTGAAGTTTGTAAATTTTCCTAAATTATTTAAATTATGGTATGCAATTGCAAAAATCATTAGCAACAATTATGTGTATATATATTTCGTGAAGAATTTGCAAAATTTTATTCATAATTTGACTGAATACTTAAGTTAATTATACAAGAGTATTGAATTATGCAAAGTTTTGAAAGTACTTTATCGTAATATAAATGGCAGTGTGAAGTGCGTTTTTCATTCGTGTAACATAAGCGGGATGGGTGACGTAAGCTGCTATATGGGAGCTCCTGGAAGCGGTGCACCAGCATCTACTGGGGGTAATGGTGGTGGTGGTGGTGGTGGTAATGGTGGTGGATATGGTTACCAAAGAGAATACGACTATGGAAGTAAGTATTCCTAACAAAGTTACTGTTGGAAATACCAGGGTACTTTCTCGTTGGTTGCAGCATTTGATTAGATTTAAGTAGAAACTTATTCTACCAATCAAATAAATTTGTAGTGATATTAATGCTTTTAAAAAAAATGTTTTATACTAATTAAAGCAAATTTTAGGTGGTGGAGGTGGTGGAGGTGGTGGTGGTGGTGGTGGCGATGATGGGCCAAAGATGCGCACGGATGTATCTTGCTATCTTTCTCCCAGATGAATTATGTGTATATCCATCGATGACATCGCCATCTTTATCATTCATCGCTACACCGCAAAAAAAGATCATATCAAATCTTGCAACAGCTTCATCAATCTGACTTCATCATCGTAAAATCGTCCAAATTCTCTTACCACCACTTACTACCATCAAGCATCAAAAACAACAATTACTACTATCAACCACTTACGTCTTTTTCATACTTCAATGGAATCAATTATTTTGAGGATTATTTCAATGAAACTGAAGAATAACCTTAGCAAATCCACGTTGATTGCAAGCTTTTAATCTCATTATATTGATTTCTTTTCTATCAAAATGTTACAATTTTAATACTTTTGACCAAGTACACTTATTGGCGATGTATATCGAATAAACAAATTTTACTTTACTTCGAATACAAAAGACAGTCAAGTTACTACAAAGTAATAAATTTGTGTGCTACATTTAGTATTCGGTCATTTAGCCGACATTGCGATTCAGATGCGATATTTGGATTTGAAAAAGATCGCTAGAATAGGCTGATAGTCGATAAATTTTTATTAGTGCCGAATACTCTGTATAAGACTTTGAGAATTAATCACAAATCTATTATATCCGGTTGAGTGGTATATAATTAGTAATTTGTAATATTATAAAAGATATATAATTGATTTTTAGTAGTAATTGAAGGAGAAAGGCGAAATTATTCGATAGTAATGTTGTATTTATGAAGAATAGCCCTTAAAGATAGGTGAATAAAATAAATAAATACTTGGATAGTTGTCATATGCTTAATGAGATTTATTTTGTATGCGAAAGTAGAAATGTTGAAGAGAAGAAAGGTTAATGAAGAGGTTTGTACTGTTGAAGTACTACTTAACAACAAATCATTTCACGCTTTTTGTTTTCAAGCAAATTTGGTACTGAGATTGTGCATGTAATACAGTACGTTAATAATAATAATAATAATAATAATATGCAAGCATCCTTGCCGTCAAAAATATGGTACAAAAATTAGCATCTTTGAAGCACTCTATTCTTTTTGTTACCTTTTCTTAAATCATTATTACTCATTAATTTTTATTTCTATCTTCTTTCCATATGACAATATTTAATCATGATAATACAAAATATAGAGTGCTTCAAAGATGTTAATTACTGTACTATTTTTTTTTAATATGCATACTAAAATAATAATTCACTTAATTGAAATAATAAATATATGCGATATAAACTTAAAAATGCTATTATTAATTTTTTGCTAGTTTATTATTTTTTTAATGCTATTATTATTATTATTATTACTAATATTATTAGTTTTGTCATAATTTTTATTTTTCTAGTGATTTTTTTGTCTTTTTCAAGCGGATTTTCATCCATTCCGAAAAAGATTGTTGTTAATATTAGTAATTGTTGCTATTCTTTTATTTTTTATGCATATAATCAAGTTGATTAATTCAAGAACTTTTTACTTTTACTCACTTATACACACTTATTTACCAATAACAATGCAATACAATACTGGCACTGTAGGGGTCATTGCTCATGCATTTATTACTATTATGCAAACTTTCACATACTAACATAAATAACATTGCTGACTTTTGTCTGAAATATTTTCTTGAATGTACACATGAACTGAGCTCAGCATGCCATTAGCACCATTTTAATATATATAGAGTTAATTTGTTGGTCCTGTAAGACTAAGATTAGTATTTGATATATTTCAAAGAATAATGTTATAACGAAGATTTTACTATTTTCAGAAAAGTGAGCTTCAAATAAAATCTTAAAATAAACTGAAATCAAATCCCAAGCAAAAAGCTTGAAAATGAACTTAATAGTAAATTAGCACAAAGCTATTAATAAATTAGCAAAATTTTTTCAAAAATATCCATAAATTGATTTTAGGTTTATTAAAGTAATAAGCTAAGTTGCAAACACTCATTATCTATTAAGCAAAAGTCAAAAATAACTTCTTTTATTGTAACTTTGTTCACTTATTATAAAACTATTAATAATAATAAAAGTAATATAAGGCAGTAATTAATAGTGTCATATAAACTAAGTATATATTTCTTAAGGAAAGGAATATTTGCTATCGAACAAATAAGCAAAATTCAAATTTCATCTTTTTTTTAACAATAATTTTCCAATACTGTTAGAACTTTTGAATGCACTTATTTGGATTTGAATAATAATATGCATGAAATTTATGTACATTTTAGACACTTAACCAAATTTGGTATTATTTTATGCAAAAATTTCACTTGCATTTGCTATATGATCAGCTGAATGTGTACATTTGATAAATACTGATTACATCAAGCAATTTTAATACTATTTGTGAGCCTTTGCTCAAGAAATTCTAGGACAAAAATGTTGATAGTGTAGACGAAAGCAAAGGGTTAAATATATTAAATATTGTTTGTTGAAGGATTACATTCTGTCAGTCACGCCAGTAAGAAAGCTTCTTATCGAATTGGCACCTCTTCGTGGAACCAAAACACTTTGTAATAACTCGATTTATGGACTCGTAAATATTGAAAGCATTACTTTAGGTTACTGTAGTAATAAGCAAAATTCAAAACATATCGCATTCAGTGCATTTTACGCTCAATATTTAAGGCAAATATTAAAAAACTGAACTTTTAGTGTAGACATAATTTAACTCATAAAATTTAATTTAACGCCAACCCATTAAAAGATAAATTTTATTTGCAGTCTACAACACGCAGCAAAAAAAAGTAGCGATTTAATAGTGAAAGTAAGAGAGTGAATTTTCGCTCAATATTTTACTTCGATAAAGTTGAAAAAAATTTTTAAACACATTTCAGAAATATAAAAATAAAAGTTTTTGACAGATTCAAGTTGTAATTTATAAAACTTGTAATTTTTAATTCTCATTTTCCAAGAAATTAACTTGCATTACACAGAGCAAACTTTTTATTCTACACTTCTTTCTGTAAAATTCAAAGAGATTTTACAGAAAAGATATAATAAGTTGTAAAAGACAATTATAATAATTATACCTTTTTTTAGAATGACTTTGAATAAGTCTCATTAAAGTATCAAGCGGAAAGTATAAAAAAAGAGAAGTGAGTATTGGCTTGTAATTTGGTTTTCAGCTAAACAACTTTTTCGAGCAGTACTTAATTTAATCCCGCGAATAACGGGAGGAATAGGTATAATATTTTGCGAGTATTAGCAAAAGAGAAGTGGATAAAGGGATGATGATATTAGGTAAAACGTGAAATATTCTTGTCAAGAAGCGTAACCCATGCAATTGTTTGCTTTAGCTAAGTAATGTGTGAGACGATAAGCCGTTGTGAAGAGAGTTCATCAGGGAGATTGTGTTTGCTTTGAGACTTGAAAGTTGCTAACTAACACCTCCTTCAATGCCACTTTTGTTTACTTATTGAATTCAGAAGCACAAATGGCATTATGAATTCACTCCATCTGCTTCTTAATCATATTACAGATGTACTACTCAGGAATTAACTCACAAAAAACTGGAAAAAAAAAGTAAATAAATTTTAAGCAATATTTTTGTGATCAAAACTTGCTTTAACAACTAATACTACAGTAGAAAAATCACGTAAAAGTATTAAAGTTTTTTAATCATTTAAGTCATTACGCTAAGAATTTTGATAGAATTAATTATTGTGATCATATTTTTTTCATTTCTTATCAAAATGAGATTATATTTACGTGCGCAAATTTGTGACTAACAATGGCAATTCGAAAAAATTAGTTTATAGCAAAAAGTGTTACAAATAAGAAAATGAATCAATTTTTTGAATCTAATTTGCATGTAATGATAAATATGTGATTAGAAGAAAATCAAATTAATCAGCATTTTAGAAGTACTCTGGCAAAGTTGCTAATTTTCTTCCTTCTAACTCTATTTAGTCAAGAAAGTAATAATGTGTGCCGAATGATTTTACCATTGCAAATCACTGAGTAATGAATGACTGATCTGTGTAATATGAGAAAGTATACATTATGTCGCCTGCATTAACCTTATAGTAAGGGTCAGTGATATAAGAAATGAGAAAAATTGGTAGATTCACTCAGGTATGCATAATTGAATTAGGCAAAAAATAATGAGTAGAGGTGAGATAAAATTAGTATATTAAGCCTAAAGAGGGAAGGACAAGATCAAAAAATATCAGGTCAAATTTTGAAAAAAAGCGCGATAAAAATTGTGCTAAGCAAATTAACAAATCACTCTGCATGCTAATTAATCAGTTATTGAACTCTATTTTTATCACTAATCAATCAGTTGAAAGAAGAATCATTTGAATAATGCAGCGTGCACACTTATAAGTAACTGCACTCTTTTTCAAAACTTACTACAATATTCATTCACATCTTGCAAATCCTTTTGTCATCATTATTACAATTCAGTTTATTTTTATCAACTTCTAATCACTTCTATCACTCTTTCGATCATCACGGATTACTATTATCATATTTTGTGAAAGTTATTCGATTAAAATTGATCATACATGTATATCTGATCTTCCGTTTTCACGTATTTATAGCTATCAAGTGATTCGTTCTGTTCATTATAATTGCTATTGGACGAAAGATTAAATCTTTTAATAAATTATATTTTCATAAAATTTATGGAAATTGGCAAATCTGCAACTTAAATTATGAAAATGATTAAAAATTTGTTGATCAACACAAAATAAGAATTGAATATATCAAAAATAACATTTCATTGAAGTTAATTCATGAAAAGTTTGTAGTACAATTTTCATTTTAACACAATAATATTAATTATATTATTGTGTTAAAATTTTGAATTTTTCTAAAAGTTTTTTGATTCCTGTTGTCTAAAATTACTTTGCAAGAACAAAGTTTTCGAATTTTGATTAATTTTGATTGAAATTTATTTAAAATAATTAAAGAAAAGATAAGTAATGAAATGGTAATAAATGGCAAACAGGTTTATTCGCTCCTTCTAGGGAGAATTTTTAATCGAATAAGAAAGAAATATCTTAACTCGTATGAATATTGTAATAGAAATGTTGATGTGTAGACAATCCGATTACGTAACGTCGAGATTAATTTCAATAATTTCACGACTATAATAATATTATCAACATAAATGATTTATGTCTAACTTTTTAATTATTAAATTTCTGGCATTACATTTTTATTTGATGAATACTGTATTTCTGTCTTATACGTCTAAAAATATTGTGTCAGCTTTTAATCTGATAAATGATTGTTAGTTAATATTGGAGTTAAAATATTGCAGTATTCTCGTCTTTCCAAATATGGTTTTAACCTTTTTAAAACCTGAAAATAATGAAGAAATAGACTTTGAAGAGAGGCTTTGTACATGATGATCCTTCTGAAGTCTAAAATAGCCTATGAATAGATTTGATTAAATGATATTAAAAACAATTGAATCATAATATTATGATTATATCGTAATCTTGATAAATTTTGCCTTCAAAAACTGCTCGCAAATTTTTAACTGATGATTTCTTACGCGTAAGCAATTAAACAAACGTTTTAGCATGCAATTTCAACCATTTCTATACAAAATGGACCAAAATTATATCAAAATTTTCTTAGTTAAATAGAAATGAAAAGTTGTAAGTGAAAAAATAAAATCTTAAAAATATTTTTTTTAGTTCAAAAAATTTTTTATTGATTTGATTATACTGTAATTGATATCTGCTTCATCTTCAAAAATTTCAATGGCAATTTATTTCTGATTTTGTTTTCGAATCTCTAATTCATTTTTAAATTAGTTCACAAAAATCAATTGCAAACTTCACTTCTGATTATTGAAATCAAAATTGATAGCATTAAAAAGTATTTACTTTCACTCATAGGTAAATTTTATTTGCTTTGAAATTCACTTATGGAAATTTACCTTCTCACTGTTTGCTTCTGAGTAAATTTTCTGCAGGGAAGATGCTAATACTTATGCATATAAGTGCATATTTGCATAAGCCAAGTCTTCTTTCTCTGATTTCCTGATGTTCTCTTTCTCTTTTTGGATTTACTTAGAATCTAATTACCGTAAAACCCGTGAAATTTGAATAATGCATTTCCAAGAAAAAGTATCAAATTGATTAACTGCCTATTTGCATATAATAAAAATGTAAATTTGATTAATTACTTATGTAGTATAACTATGCGGTAAATAATTTTTTGCGATTTTTTTAAATAAAGAATACTAAGAATAGCAAATTTCATTTTCGCAATGTATATTATTATGTGATTAATCTGATTTTCAAATTTATATACATTAAAATATCAGGTAGCTAATCAAATCAATGCATTACTTTCATCAAAGTTAATGGAACTGTTAATAAAATTACTTCATTTCAGAATGATTGACATAACTATTTGATAAAGATAACAATAATAAATATCTCTAAAATTTTTTCAACAAGTGAAACAACAAAAAGTATTGACTTGAGATCAAACCATTTATGGCATTTTATCCACATTTCACTAGTTAATTTGGGTAAAAATTTAGAAATATGATCACTAGTTAAGTTTAAAATCTGAAAGGATACTTATTCAAATACAAAGTAAATGAGTTATCTAAATAATTGAGTACTTGATCTTTCAATCAATGCACAGTAATTTTTTTTAATAAGTAGTATTCAACAAGTTAGAAATCTTTGGACTGAATAGTTTGTGTATTTTTTAACGAAGTATTTACGAAAAATTGGTAACAAGTTATATTTAAACAATAGTTCACATGATACCTCCAAATTTCAAACTGTACTCTCACTTTGAGCACATTTTTTGGTTACAAAATTGAAAGTAAAAATGAAAAGATATGTCAGCATTCAAATTTGAAGTAGATGACCTTTTCATTTTGTTTTGTAAAAAACTGTTGATCAAAAAATTAAAATAAATTGTGGAACAAAATAACACAATTAATGCAAATGATCAATACGGAAGTACAGTACACCAAAGTAAGAAAGTCTTATCAAAACTATTCAAACGTTGCTTTTTTTAAATTTAGTTTTTTGGTAACTTTTCATTTCATTGAAAAACCAAGAAAATTTTTTATTCAAACTTTTGCTCGTTATAAGATTTCTGTCACATAAGAATACGAGAATTTGTTACTGAATAGACATGAAAGTTTAACTTATCATTAAGTATTTTATCAGTATATTATACTAAAGTCTGAAATTGAAAAGTTTGGTGACAAAAATTTTTCTCAATTATTTAGCACTTTTTTAATTATACAAAAAAAATCAGTGGACAATTTTTGAATTTCAACAAGCTTTAAATTTCTTTAGCTCTTTCATTTTTTAATAAAAGAAATAAGACTCTTAAAGTTTGAGTACTGCAAAGAATACAACATATCAGCTACTATCACATATCGCTAATAATCACCGATAGAGTGCTATTTATGAAAACTTAACAAAATAGACAGCAATAGCTGCAACAAATATATAAAATTCAAAATGCAACAAATTCTTATTTTTATTACACGTTTAATTGAAACAGAAAAAAGAAAGTTGCACCAGTACGGTAATAATGGCATAAAATTGAAAAGGATCGCTCTTATTTGAACAATTAGTCGAATTAAATTTACTTTCATAAACGATAAATTCGAAAACATTCAACTTTTTAAAAATTTTTTTCTTGTTCGATAAGACAAATATAAAGCTTATTTTAATTTTTTTAGAGTTTTATCAGTTCAAAAGGTCAAAAAAGGCGCAGTTGACTGAGGACAAATCTTAAAATATTCAGTTGGATTAAACCTGTTTTATCAACGATTTTGGCGTTTATATTTATTTATCTATCAATGGAAAAGATTTTTCGATGTGCAAATCTGAAATATCTCTAAATGTTACTTTTTGGTTCCGTTTTTACATTCATAACTTTTCCATCTGATTTCCGAGTGCTTCCAGGGCTTGCTAAACGTTGTTTTTTGATTTTGATAGAATCATCTTCATCATCAGATACATCGTAATCTGATTCGTCTGAGGCACTCATCTTCTGCCCTGCACTGTCTCTTACATCAGATTCACGTTTTTGTTTACGATCCTTCGCTCGACGGTTTTTGAACCAAACCTGAAAAATAAAAGGATGTAATCAGATCTATTATGAATGATGTATTGACTTAAGATATATATGAAAATCTGTTACTTGATTACTTCTGAAAATTAAAAAAACAAAATTTACTTTACATAAATAATAAACGAATAATAGCTGAATTATAAGCTGTTAAACTACACATTTCAATTATTATTTAAAGTGATATTCTTAATCTTTTTTTTTAAATGGTTGAATTTACTTTATAAAAATATACTTCTCTCCAGACTGTACTAGCACAAAGAAAATTTGAACAGTTAATTAAATTTTTAACAAAACAATTCTGTATATGAATCTTGAAGATAAAATTAAACAAAAGGAAGACTGGAATCGAAACTAAACTTTAGCACTCGAATGCAGTTACATACCTTAATTATGCCTTGAAGTATTGCTTTTGCTGTCAAATGGTTGGAAATGCTTAGATGCAGCGAAAATTTTTTAAATTTTATCAATTTTTTGCAGTTATTTAATATGTCATAAGTTCAATTTGGAACCTCAACTCGCTCTTCCTTGAGGTCACACTGCAACGCAAGTTTTTCACGCAGCATCACATCAGGATAATGAGTACCTTGAAATGCATTCTCTAAAATTTGGAGTTGCTCCTCACTAAATATGGTACGATGCCGTCGTTTTCGCTTTCCACCGTAATGGAATGGGTGTAGAGCTGAGATGAAGCCATTACTAATATAGGGAAGACCAGGATCTATAATCCTTATCGTGGCATCAGTTTTAAAGTTTTTGTGGGAAAATATAAACACATAAATTCTTCCCATATTCTGAGGTAAAAGATTTGAATAATGAACTTCGAAAAATTTAAATTCATTAACTAGCCTTACTAAATTATTCTTGAATTCTTACATTAAATATCTAGTATTGGAAAATCATCATAAAGTTGCATGTTATGATCATGGCATACGGTAAGTTGTAAAATTAAAGTTCAGTTTTAGATGATTATTTTGGCTGATATTAAAATTTAGATTTTTCTAAACACTTGAACGTAGTTGGTTGAAATATTTTGTACTGCTTTGGAAATTTACGCTGTTTTTAAATTGTTGTATAAATGTTATGTAAATAATAAGTATTCAATTATGGAAAACATGGAATCAAAGCAAAAGTAGATTAGATTTGAACAACTTAAATTTCAAAAGATCAGTTTCTTTTTTCTAAAATTTAAAACCAAAACACACGAGGATATGGAAAATGTGGTATTCCAGGCCACGCAACAGCAGCAACGGCAGCTGCAGCAAAATCTGTAGTTAATGGCATCGGTGGTAACGGAGGTACAGAAACTCTTCGGGACAAAATACTTTCAATTGAAAAGTTTGACGCAGTTGAACTGAAAAATTCATCATTATTAAAGTAACTAGTTCGAATTTGAAATATGATGTAGTGTTATCTGTGTTGTAAGAGTCAAATCTATTCTCCAGCATAGAAAATAAAATTTAATTCCTGATATAGTAACTGTTTATCCAATGAAATTCAATAGATCAAAAATTAAGCTACAAGTTTTAAGTGATATTATTAATTTTTCAGCTTAAAATTTTATTAAGAAGATTTTGAAATAAATAAAAGGTGATTTTTTTTAAATTTCATGCTTTAAAAAATTTACTTGCTACATTACAGAAAATTAATCCCTTTGTAACTTTTCAGTTACTGTATTTGCTGAAAAAAAATGGCCAGAAACATGAAAGATAAAATTTAAATGAGTGGATAATATTAAATAATAATGCTGAGGTGAAAAGAAGTAAAAAAAATGAGCATTTTATGTTAGCAAATAATTATAAAGAAATTATCATGTTTTCATTTTGAATTCTTCTCAAAAACTTTAAACTCTCAACAAACTTCAAAATGTGAAAAAGCATAAAGACAAGAATATCAGATCACTTTTCGTACTGATACACAAACGAATGACCACATAAAATATCAAAAAGATTTTTATTAAAGCATCGATCCATATAAATGATCTTTCTACTCAAAATTGAAATTGAATACTTGAATAGTATCAATAAAATATGTATTTGAATTGATAAAATATTGAGACAGTTTTGCTTGGTACAAAATATGTTACCGAAGTATTTTTGTAATATTCATTGATTATGGCATTTTATTTATCACTAAAGCATTTTTTATTTGCCAGACACTGCTCTAGTTGCTACATAGATTATTGAAGTATTTTTGCTGATTACATTTTATAATTTCAGTAATTCTAATTATAATCAGATACATTTGATAGGATAGTGTATTTTCATTACAACACTTAAAAATAATATAAATTACGGTATGTGCAGTTATCCATTTTGATAATAGCACTTATAGTAGTAATATTAATATAAGTAGTATTAAACATCTAGCAAAGACGATATTTTCTTATCAACCATAAAACAGCGATTCAAAATTGGAAAAAATTTAGAATTCAAAGAATTGAAAGAAAAATTAGTCGTTACCTGGATGATGCTGGCATCTGCGCTAAGCATGAACGTAGATGCGTGTGTACTGTTGGCGTTCCGGCAGTGGTATAGTAATACGGTGAGTAAGGAAGAGACATGATTTGATCATGAAATCAATTTCAAGCCGTATTTAAGAAAGCACACTGATCAGAGTAATAATATAACATTCGAAATTCAGAAATTTAAATTAAGAATTTTAAAAAAGCAAGAAGAACGTCAAGAAACACGCCTCCGCTACACTTCGCATTTCACCGTTAAACTACCGTCCTCCAAATCATTTCACAATCTCATTATACAACTTTTGTTTCCGCCCCTTCTGTTGATTGGTTACTTGAAGCATTTTTTCGTGTCTTTTTCTTTGCATCATTGGTTCTATGAAACAAATATGCTTTGACATTCTTTACAAACATTAGTTGAAATACATTGAAAAATGTGGAGAAATTTGTTAATAGACCCTTTAATGACATAGACTGACACACATCAGTGTACATCCAAATATGGCAGCATGTAAATAAAATATACTGAATTGTAGTGAAGAGAGAGTGAAATACACAGATATGAATTTACCAGCAAAAGAGTGTGGAACTTTGCGCAGGTATACGAGAATATGCATCAGTATGCACAGACAGACATTTGCATAGTGAAAAGAGACAAAGTGGGTAAATACTTTTTCCTGTCTCACATTCATCTTACTATATTTTGAGGATATTTTGTTCATAAGGTGTGAGCTCTCTGATATACTTATGAAGGATAGAAAGAGAAAAAAGTATTATCTGTTTTAAGGAAAAAAGGTTTTTTTTAATCCTAAGGAATATTTCAACAAAGATAATTTATCCATTTAGGGTTACGGTATCTCGTTCATTTCAGCCTAAAGGCTGACGATTATAATTTATTTGTAATGTAAGAAACGTAATTTCTAGAGGCGAAATGTTTCTTTTTAATTTTTGCATTAATTAATCCAATTGAATTTTTTGCATAAAGTAATCAACTTCGAATCTTTTGCATTGAATTTAATTTTGAATCTTCTGCACTGATTAATCCAATTTTCAGTTCTCTTTAGTAATAAATTAAAATATTTTTAATCTGAAACTGTTGATACATTACTGACAGAAATATTCTCAATACGTTAATATTTTTAGTTTTCAAATATTAGTTGTGATTTCACTGTGAGTGATAAAATAATGCAAAATTAGCAAATAATGTAAGTTTGTTTTGAATAAACAAAAGTAGCAAGTATGAAAATTCACTCAAAAAAGTTGTCATACAGGCAAAACAATTAAACTAAATAAGTTTATGTATGAAGTGATAAATGATAAATAATATAAGTTTAAGTAAAATCAAATATTTGAAGAAATGAGTACTATTATTGCTTTTTAAAATTCTGTGGCTTTGTTTGCATAAGTATTCCAATTGATTGCGTCGATGTCCATGAAAAATTGCAATGATCTGCTGATTGCAAGTGTATTTTCTCGTAGTTTTGCATACAGAATGCTCAAATTGATTACTGAATATTCTATTTTAATTGCAGTGATACGCTTTTCCACATTATAAAATTGTAAAAAATACCACACTTTCAGTTGGTTTTTTCCTTCTACCTTTAAGTCCTTGCTGTTACTGTTGCCGAGCTATTTGTTCACTATTAGCAGTACAATTCTAACTATGAATTGATCAATTTTCAATTTTGTGATTAGTATAGAGATGATTTAATTAATAAGTTTAGTATCTTAATGATATATGAAAAGTATTCAAGGATGTCTGCCATTGTAGTGATAAACGTTAATAAAAATGCGACTTGATAGAAACTGCCTTCCTCTCACCTTATTTGACATTTACGCTTGATCAAACTGCAAAACTAATCGGTGACGATTATCATACAAAGATTCACCTTTCCCTAGAGCAATATTATCAAATCTGTCACAAATTCATAATCTCATGAAGATTATTAATAGGAGGAAAAGTAGGCTAAAGATGATTAAAAATTAAGAATAATTTATGTTTGTAGCAATAGCTAGCTGATAATGATTGCATTAAATTACTGATCGTATGGAATGATCATGAATTTGGACTAGCTGAATTGTGTTAATTATCAGTAAAATTTTTTTCAACATTTTATTCTTCAAGAAATAGCTAATTTACTTTTTAACACATAAATGGAAAATATTTACAAATATATATTTATATTTATATGGTTTTAATTATACACTATTTATATACTATATAAATTTATGTGGTTGTAATTATATACTATTTATATACTAAATAAAATTGAAGTTATACATTTTAAAAATTTGCATATTTGTTAGTTTTTCGAAACAGTTTAAAGATGTCAAAAAAAAAGAAAATGTTAATGAACAAATTGCATTCCATAGAATATTGAAGAGAAGACTGTTGCGTAGTGCATTAATGATGTTCTAAACCACCAACGGTGCAAACATAATTGAGTCTTAGGAAGTTTGTTTTACCTTTTTTGGGTAAAAGATTTGAGGCCATTGCATTTTTTGCATTAAACTTATTTTATTTCCTTTTACTTTTGGCATTTGCAAAGTAATTTCTCAAATATGAACCATTCATTCTTCATTTGCGAATTACATATGCATTACTTCTGTATGCATCGCGTGTTGAACTTGTATACTTCATCAGAATTTCGCTCCTATCTTCACTACCGTTTCCAATATTTTTGGTCAGAAGTACTCATCTTTGAAAAAATAATTCAAAATATTATTTTTTGCACTTCTTTCTGAGAAAAAACAAAATTATTCGATCATGCAATCAATGTGTTTATTACAACAACTTAATTGCAATACTTTTTATTACTGAAAATTTTACTGTAGAATTTTGCTGTAATATTATTTCACAGAAAAGTCTTCATCTTAGCACGGGCATTTTTTGTAAAATTTCTTATCAAAACTTATTCAAACGTTTGATTTGTTAATTGCCAAAATGTTTGAAATTTCAAACTTTTAAGTAAATTTTGAGTCACTGATATTAGACATAATTTAATTTTTTGCAGCAATCTAACGAAAATCAGTTCTGACCTCTCTAAATAACAACAATCTATGCTTTTGTGCATAAATTTTTTACAAGTATAAAAATTTCTGTCCTTTTTTTTGCTTTGGAAAAGCTTTTGAAGTCAAAATGTTAAAATTCATGCAGATCATTCACGTGATGAACTGAATATCAGTTAACTTGAACTGTACATGCTGAATTATGAACTGTACATGCTGAATTATGGCCTGTAGATGCTGAATTGGAGAAAATTTTATACTTTCAAGAAAAACTTTTTGCTTTGCTTTTGTCAGCATAATATACATTTTTAAATATTAACTTCCACTCAAGAAATATTGTAATGTGCCAAGCAATTGAGACGATCAAACAATGTCATTCAAAAATATTAAATTACAAAATATAAAAAAATGTAATTACTTAAGCAGCAAATTTAAGTCAGTAAGCACTGATTTGTTGAGATATTTTGAACGACTGAAATGACACAAAACAAAACAATAATGGTAAAAGAATTGAAATTTAAAGAAAAAGTTATTCAAAATTTAAATGTTTGCAAATTTCAAATAACTTTCGACGACAAGTCACTCAGCACTTTTATTTTAATGCCCCTTTGGAATATAGTTTAATGAAACTTTCATTCAAATATTTTAAAATTTTATGCGTGCGTTGTCATTATCAAATATGAATTGATAACAAACACAAACTCAAATTAATTAATAATAAACAGAAGGTAGGCTATTTTGATAAGAAATAGCAACGAAACTTAATAAAAGTGCCACCTTCAAGTAGCAATGTATCGTAAATAGAAATGAATTATTCCATATTGTAGTAAAAAAAGGAAACAATGATTGAAAATGCGTAATTAGTTTTAACATTCATTTATTTTATATATTCTTCTTAAGTAAATAACACGGATATAATGGAATATACTGATGCCTACTGAAACAAATAGTCAAGTAGGCAATGTTTTCATAAAATTTACATTCATCTCAATAAAACAACGATATGGATACAGTGCGTAAATGCTTGTTTTAATAATGAAAAATAATTGAATGCGTATCAGACAGCCCTTAGATAGTACCATAAACTAATCTAAATAACAATGACAAGTACTAATTTTAATACTTAGAGTGTGTGTAGGTCTATTAACAAAGTAAATATAAACTCACCTGATGAATGAATGAATGAATGAATGAACTGATGAATGGATGAATGGATGAATACATGCATCATATGCAGTAGACAATAAATGCAGTAAAAAAGAATGTACAATAAATGACGAATTAGTCTCACATCTTTGAGTAATAAATAATAAGTAATCATAAATTCTTTTATAAATTATTATTTGTTATGTAAACTTTTAAATCGCAAACATTATAAAACTTTTTTGGCTTCTAAATACATTCAAGCAAACAAGGCATCACGAAAGATATACAGATTGCTTTTGATATTAATTGCTGCAGAAAGAAAACTATCTGTAAATAGTCATATTCACCACAACTTTACATTTCACTTCATAATCCTATTTGACTATTAACATAGCAAAAAACTGACCAAATCATATGGTAATAATAGTAAGTTAAGATTACAGTAAACTTTTGTTACGAATTATATACAATGCAATAAGTAAACAATATTGTTTGGTATTTTAAACGGTAAAAGGCAGATGGCAGTTTGCACTCACTCTCGATCCCATAATAAGCAGTTTTAGGATGAAAATGTTTTTATCGCTTTTCGGGAGCACAACACTTAAATCATTTTGACTGTGATAGAATACCCGAAATACCAGATAATTCACTGGCATATTCCCACTACTACACCAGATGGTTCTTTTACTTCGTTGAAAATAAACTAATATTTTAAACCTACCTATTCTATCCATGCAACTCATTTTTTTTAATGCCGGAAAAGCTTTTCGTACACTTTAATATTGGATTAAATTATGCCAATCTGCATATCTCTCCCTAATTACTGTTTATTCCACTTCGCTGATTTTCCCGTAACTCATGGCCAAATTATTTTTCCCAACGTACATCAACAATTCGGGCATTTATCTGATAAAGTAAATGAGTACTACCTACTATCACCTACTTCGAGATGGTACATATAACTATAAAAACCCTCCCAAATTTGATGCAAACATTTATTAAAGCAACGCCAATACACTTCTTAACAGCGCAAAAAGCAGTGCCAACTAATTCAACATTGGAGATAATTTTCTTGATTTTTGCAAGCTTTAAACGAATAAAACACCGAATAATTCCGGACCTGTTTCATACAGTGATTAGGATTACAAAGTTTGAAAACCATAACGTATCAGTAAGTTCGTGATTAATGTTAGAACATTTGCAAAAGGTACTCGAAAATTTCATGTACTATTTTATTATTCATTTCAAGCAAGTGAACTGGCTGGAAAATAGTGCACAGAAAGGAAATACATTAAAGTGGTAAGCATTAATAATATAAACTTGGCATAGTAATCACATAATTCAAATACAGATGCGAATAACAATATTTCTTGCTGGTCACTTTCAATACCCAGTACACAACAATCAACACATTCTCGGAACATACTGCTCTTAATAAACCTTAAACACAGTAAATATTCAAAAGAACAATATTAACTTCACATTAACCAATTATGGAACTAAATAGTTTAAAACTATTGAGCAAACAGCACTTATTAATTGAATATCGCCAGAATAAATCTTTCAGTAAGGTTTAAGAATAATGCTATTCAATGCGTTAAATTTATTATTCAAATATTACACTCTATCATCTGTTAATACTTCCGGAACATGTTCCATGATTTTGTCCAATAAATCATCGTCAATATTCAAGTCGCTTTTTATCGGTTGCTTCTCAGATAGAACAACCATATCCGATAATAATAATTCACGAAGGCTTTTTGTCGTACGTTTATTGTATTTGCTAAGTATTCTTTGGAGAGTAAACAATCGTTTTGACTGAAATTTTTCACATGAAATTAACCAACTAAAACAAAACACACCGTTAAACTATATACTAATGAAATAAACCTACTATTCCTTCAAAATGTTATTATATCACTTTATTCTTTACAGCACTGCAAAAAATCATATATTTCCCGCCACAAAAAAATTTTGCCCCAGAAAAATTCAGATACTACGTCTTCTACCATTTGATAAAGATAAAAAGAACTTTTTTAATTTGACCATCAAGAAAATGATGTTACAGAAATTATGAACAAGGTATGGAACAAGACGAAACAAGTTTAATTAATGTAGCTAACATTTGAGTAGTTAAAAACGAGCTCATAAAAAAATTATAACCTAGGTAACTCGAAAATCGAAAATTAAAAGTACATTTTCCAAACCTAAGTCCTAATTCAAACAGTAATTAACCTCGTCGACTGCATCATTACATTTCGAAATCGATCCATAAAAATCATCTAGTACTGATTTACAGATTTTGGAAGAAACATTATATCCTGCTGTATCATTATTCAAAACATTTTCAATTTCGCGTATTGCATCCCAAAAACGCTTTTGGCGAACAAAAAATCGAATTTTCAAGCTCGAGGATAATACATGAGTATGTCGCGGTAATAAGGTAAACAATTCTTCCGCAATATCGATTTCATCCGGAAAAGTAAAAGATATTTTAATTAATCTTTTAATTATATAAAGAAAAGAAAAGAAAAGCTTAATAAATAACATTCATAATACGATGTATCCAGTGAAAATTAAATCTTCCCTTGGAAACTACAGTGTGACTAAGAGAATCGTGTCATGCATTTAATAAATCTGAGTAAAAAGTTATTTATATATTGCATATTAATAAACCCGACCACTTAAAGAGAATCAGAAAAATTAAAATTATGAAGTTACAATAACAAAAATTAAATAATAACGTGATTTAAAGCCATATCCATTGCTAAATACAACAAACGATTTGATGTACGCGTCCCATGCTTACTGTCTTCTCTAGCAAGTGATAAAACTGAATTAAACGCTTCTTTGGTATCCTTGAAAAGTTATAAAACAGTATGCTTCATATAAAGTGTTATTAAAATCTATCAAAGTAATGATATTCAATTTCATTTGTCGTAAAACATAAATTTGTAATTCTATCAAAAAAATTTGTATACTCGTAAAAAATTTTTCACCAAATAATAGCACTATATAGAAAATGTCGTGACTTAATATCCAATAATCCAAAAAATTAATTTTAATATCAATTTTCAGAATAATCAAAAACTGAAAAAACTCGATCAGTAAAACCTGACAAGCAAAGAGATGAATCAGTTGTTGAGAAATACCTAAATTAAAAAAAACTTTTTAGAGAAAATATTCGACTGTATGAACAGTATACTTTAATGATTACTCACAAGTTGATAGCAAGCAGCAGCATATTCCATTTTGTCCTTCCAAGTTTTATTTTCCATACATGAAAGTGGCATTTTTCTCATGATGTGTTTTTTGTAGCGATTCCACCGTAACTTTACAGTATCGTGCTTGTCTCCGGTGGACGTTGATGAGACTACAGCAGCGCTGCTTGAGTACTTTAGCTTATTCCAGAGATTCTGAGAGATATAGTTCGTCCAGTTGCAAAAAAAAATACGATGCATTTCTTTGGTCACTAAAATTTTTTGAAAAAATGAGCAGAAAACTTTCATGCAAATATACAAAAGAAAAATTGAACTCGAATGCTAATGATAATAAACTATGTATGAGAAATATTTTGCATGAACTAAAACAAACAATCTTTTAATTCAATTAGTAAAACACAGAAAATCTGACTTTATCAAATAGCAAAAGTTCTTTATATGGAAAGTAATATTTCAATCATTTTTAACTTACTTATTTTTCATTCTCTAAAAAAACTTCTTAGGAATAAAAGAAATGCATATTTTTTGAGAAGTAAACAAACTTATAAGTGTCACGGTTGATTATCCTTGAAATCGAATCTGTTCATTGTATTCAGAATATTTCATCCAAAACAAGCTTCTGATTTAAGACATTTTCATTTTAATAATTGTGCAGTTCTGAAAGAATATTAAAAAGGATTAAAAATAAGTAAAATTGCATTATTATAAAATTAGCAATAAATATGCTATAAAAAAACATAAATGCAATAAATTTGCATTAATCTCTTCATAAGTACAAAAAAATAACAAACTAAAAATTTGAAATTTTTAAAGGTGAAAAAAATGAGATACCCAATACACAAATCGAAAGGTTACATTTCTACAAAGTACTGCTAAAATTATATTAGTTTATTTTCAACTTCACAGCCCGAAACCGCGTTTTACCGCCTTTTTGAAAAGAGAAATATTCAGTTGATAACTTCTGCAATCAGATGGTATGATTAATTTGAAGAATATAAGGCGTGTGTAAAAGGAGATAAGTTTTTGTGCTGTCATAAAGTCAAATTTCACTTCAGAAAAGAAAAACAAAAAGGATTTAGCTGTAGGGAATTCTTTAAATTTTACTTTCTATGATTTTGATTTCAACTTTTTATTTTATATTTTTATCTTACAAAATATTTATTACTTTTTCGAAGTGTTAAGTGAAATATTAATTGATGTAAATAAAGTATTACTATTGATTTTATGGTTTTTTGACGTTTATTTATTTATTCATTCGAGTAGCAAATGATGACGTTGCGTTAAGAATGGTTACGCCTTATGACATTATTTCATGCTTTTTTTGGTTGTTTATCGGATGTAAAAGCTTTGAATGTTGTGCATCAAATTCATAAATACTTAATAGGTCTTCTGCATCAGAATTTCATGTAAAGAAATTTAAAAATATTTTTGTATCTTTTTTAATTTAAAAAATTGTAATTAAATGGTAGGCTAAACTTTAAGTATTATTCATTTGGTATCATTTGAAGTATTTGTTCTTAGAAGTCTGCAAAATTAGATGCAAACAATAGTTACTTATATAAATGTTAACTGTACTATAATACATCAAATATGTTAGAAAATGTCTGTGTTGTGTTAATTATTTGTTTTTTTGTGTGAGAATACTTGTAAGCGTTAGTAAGCAACGCATCTCATTCAGCACAATTTAGATACAAAATTTTATTTGATTTAGTTTTTTCAGAAACTGTGTTTTATGATTGAACTTTGGAAACAGTAAAATGACGTAAAAATTTTCTATTTAAATCTCATCGCTCTGTCAGGTACAATTTTTTATTTGCATTTAAACCAGTTGTAGACATTATTTTCTTTACAAAAAATAGTGATAAAAAACTTGTTATTGCGGTAAATATTAGCGCAATATTGTTTATGGACTTCATTAAAGTATACAGGAATTAATTAATGACCTCTGGAACAGAAAGTACTTTTACTTGCTTAATGTCATTAATTTGAAGTTGAAAGCTATTTTCTTTTTTGAAGCTTTTTAAAAATTTCGTGTATAATATTATTGCTGAATTAAATTATAATTCAGAATTATTTTAAGATGTTATAACTGTTTTATTATGTTTTTGTCGAACTATTGTTAAACATAGATTTTTTTTGTTGCATTTTTCTCACTTTCAGTTTTTGGCTCACATAAATTATTGTGATGCTAATCACGCAATGGTAGAATACACGCAAATGATTATTTTTCTTGTTATATTTGTTGCTGTACCACTGCAATTTCTTCTGTCACCATCGGCATCTGATGTAAGATATCATCTACATAAGTAAGTTTTATCTTTATTAAAGTGCCTAGTTTCTAGGAGTCGTTAAATTATTCAAGCTTTTCAACTTTTAAAAGCATAGAACGGTTTATCTATCACAGTAGTTGAATGTATTTTCAGCTTAAAAATTTCACTGTCTCATTTCTTGGGATTATTTTCTCGTAAAGAAGAAACATTGGACGAATCTGTTAGTATTTCAGAAAATGAGGAGGATACGAAATATTTTGCTAGTAAATCTTATTAAATTACTTACTCTTTCAAAATTATAGCACTTAGCATGATCGACTATGCTGTTTATCATTTTTATTTTTGCCTTTCATTATTTTGCATCTTGTGAAGTGACTTGTCGGAAGAATTAAATCCTAATAAATCTAGTAAATGCTTTAATGGACAAAATTTTTAGTAATTTTTAGTTTGCTAATAGATCCTACTATTAAACAAAACCTTAATAACACTAGTTTAACAAAATGAGAAATTTTGAAATCTTTTTTGCATTCATTAAATTCTATAGCATTTTCTACTGTAGCTTCTCTGGAGCCGCGAGATCCTCGACCGCCGTTTGTGAAGTATCGTATTGGGGATGTAATTCGACATAAAATTCACGGTTACAGGGGTGTTATAATTGGTTGGGATGAAAAAGCAACAGCGCCTCAAAGTTGGCTTGACAGAACTCATAAAGGGCGAAAAGTAAAGCATAACAAATATAGCTGATGCTTTATAATTCTTTAGTAATGCTCATTTCATCCTGAAAGAATCTTAAATTGTTTCATGCAAATTTTTTCCGTCGATGGTTTCATATATTAGAATCAGAATGAAGTACATTAATATATCCTAGCCTGTCGCTAATACGATGGCTGATATAATACTTCTTTGCAGGATTGGTCAGAAATGCCTAATTATTCAGTACTGATTGATACAAGAGATAGACTTGTTCCTCAGTTAGCTTATATTGTTCAAGATAATATTGAACTTGGAGAAGGATCGGTACTTTTAAAAAATGATTTATTTGAAGTATTAAATTTTTCAATGAAAATAATTCCAAGTGATGCAAAAAGTAATACTAATAGTTCTGAGCGTCCATTATGTGTTGCAGGTCTTCTAAATTTCCATTGCTTTTATTTAAAGTTTTGTATAAAATTATCATTTATCTATTCTTATGTATATAAAAGTGGTGTGTTATGTGCTCAGAATATGTATGTGATGCAGTTTGCTAACATTTTGGAATTTAATTGATACAAAAAATGATATTTGTTTTATTTGAATTGAAAAAAGTTTTTATGATATGATTTTAAATTGAAATATCTTGCCTACTTTGTGATATTTGTTTTCAGATATTTCATCCATTAATCAAGCATTTTTTTGAATCATTCGATGGGAAACATTATATTCCACGGCCGTGGCGCAAGAAAGTTTATCCAAATGATTAAATTGTTTACCTTTTGAAAGGCCTATATATCATTTTGCGGGTATATTTATGCTGTATTATTGCTGCAATTTTTAATGCGAAATGATAAAGATATTTTAAAATAAGAAATTGTATTAATCCATAAATTTATGGCAATAAACTGCATGAAAGACTGACTTATGGTTATTTCTCACGAATACGAAACGAAATCAGTACAAATGTGTTATATAGTTTTGCTAAGTTTATTTTTTTGTCCAGAAGATACTTTGATTATGAAAGCTATTTTTTGCATTGAAAATTAACCAATTTGTTTTGATACTAAATTTTACTTGGTATAAATGTATAAAAGTCGACGAGGGAAAGACAATAAAAGAGTAGTTAATAATATAATTTTGTGTAAATGTTTTCATTACTATTACAAGTTTTCTTCACATCTCACTTTTCTATTCTTTAGTTTTTCATTTTAAATGATAATTTAATTAATATTTCATATTTTTATGTCCAAAGTTGTCTCGTTATTTTTTGATCTTAATAGAATACTTGATAGAAATTAAATAGTTTTCCAGTATATTTATGTCTTTCAAGTACTGAAATTTTTGATATTTCTTTGTATTCTCTAAATTTCCTTTGATTTTTTAGAAAAAAAGTAGTTTTTCATTTTGTATAAATAAATTTTGTTTAGAGTGTAAAATGAATGCAATTAATGCATTGAAGTCAGTCGGCGAAATTTCACTCCATTACTTTGTATTATATTTTCCATTTTAAGAAATATGGAAAGTTTTATAGTATTGTTTTTTACTCACTGCCATATTTGAATAATTTCTGCAATATGAGTAATGCACGAATTGTATACTTATTCATTTATTATACATTTTTAAATCATAATTCTTTTCATATGTCAAGATAGTTTTTTCTAACTTCCGAATTCTAATAATAATAATTGGATTGTATTCAATTTAATTCACATTTTCAAACTTAAATTTATATTTTAATTAGGCTTCACAACAATATTACGCTGTATACATGAAACACTGGCATTCTAATTAAATGTATTATTCTGACTTCCTCTAACGTAATGTCATTCTTTTTACACATTAAGTAGAAAATTTTCTTTTGGAAATTAATTCGTGTAAAGTGTCTGATATATTTGTGCTAGTGATGTGTATATAATCAGTAGAAAACTGCTTTTACTGGGTAATTAAATATATTTATTGTCAGCTCTATACACGACTACGGGTAGTTCATGTATTTATTACTCTCTCTTTCAAATCATCAAACAAAAATGTTGAAAAGCTTCTATGATCATTTCCAAATAATATAAAGCATTCATTCATGCAGAGAACATCTGAATTTATTCTCAGACAAGAAAACTTCATTTTTTTGCGTGTTTCCTGCACTTACATCTCTATATATATACTTATTAATCCATCTTCTTTTCTCATTATATGTCAAATATTGAAATTAAATTTGAGGATGGATAGAATTCATGAAGAGCCATTTTTCTAGTAAATAATTAGTTAAATTCTGCTATTTATCAATTTCATGCTGTCAATTTGCATGTTATGCAACACTATTGCCTTCTTTTTTTAATCACTAAGCAATTATTATTATTTTCATAGAATATATGCAAAAATAAAAAGACTTAAAACAATAACTTGTAGATTACTAAATGAATGTGCAAACATTTTGCATATATTCTATAATGATTATTTAGTGATCGAAAGTAGCCTATCTTTAAACAGTTAAAATCAGCAATCAGAAATGCATAATCAAAATGATCAGATTACTATAGTAGTAGTAATTAAATGTTCATTCTTTACCTTTCATAAACGAGGCATCACTTTTTAGTAATTCGAACGGTTAAAGCAGAATTATCAAAATTTACAATTTTTAATTTAGCTTTGAATACTTAGCATTTCAGATTCTTAATTTTCTGAACAATTACTGTTATAATTATCGAACTTATTCAATACTTTTGGCAAAAAATTTGATTTGCTGATTTATGAAGCTCATACTTTGATAGAAGCTATTCTTTTGGTAAGAATGCTTGATGTACTGGATATACTTAGTTTTATTATTCCCTAAACACGAATTTTATTTAGAGCAATAAATGAATAGTAGTTCTGTTTCGAGTATGCTAGAGTAATGGTTGGTTAATTGATGACCGTATGGTATTTATAGAATAACAACATGTTGTACAATAATTGTTATCCCAGTACTTTTATAGCTGTATGAATTTTGCTATAAATCGAAATAAATATTTTTTAATACATTTTTGAAAGTGCACAAAATCAGTAAAGTCTAACTAATTACAGAGTTAACTTATCATGTAAACTTTCTCAATAGCAACACTCAAAAGCAATATTAATAAACAAATCTGCAAATGATGACGTAAAAGAATAATTATTATGTGAATAGGCTTCACACGCGATAACAAAAATATGAATTAATCATAACTGATATTCTTACTTTTAGTGGTCATATCGCTTTTAGGGCAAATTTATAATTTTAATTCTTTTTTTAAATATCTAAAAAAATGGGAATTTCGCACATTCCAAATTTAATTTTTCAAAGCTTATTTACATTAGAAAACAAATCTATTTATGAAAGTTTATAATAAATAGTAAGAAAAGAATTACCTTGTGCGAACTGATCATTTATTGTTTCTTTTGCATACGAACTATGATAATTTAAATTTAAATATCCAGTGTTAAAATTTTTTAGCTAAATTGCGTGAAAGAAACTATGCTTAGCATTCAAATGACATTTCAAGCATTTTTAAAAAGCACACATTTCAATATTTAAGAGTGAATTGAAAGGAAATAACGAAAACACAAGTTCAATTTTTGTAATTAATTCATATCAAATAATACATCGATCTGAACTAATATTTTAGTGATTTAAAAAATATTTCATTCAATGTACGAAATTAAATAAAATATTTAGGTTAAAAATTGCCTCACAAAATCCTTGAGAAGAAAAAAATTTAGCGCTAAACATCCTTTTATATGCAAATTATTATTTAAGTGAAAATTTATTCATTTCTCTTTAAAGTGAGTTTAAAAAAGAAACGGCAATTCAATTTGCTGTATATTTTTAATAAAATTAGTAGTGTAAAGTGTAAAGAGCTTTTAAATT